GTTCCACAGCTATACATAATATTTTCATTGGTTAAACATTCAGAAGAAGTCCACCTCTCCTTCTTCTATTCTGTGTTAGTCTGAAGCTTAGCTGAAACCTGTCCACTATGACTGTACCCTGCTGGTATTTAAAATACCATTGGCATAGCTTCCAGAATCACAGCAACAGGCAAATCGCCATCGTGTGACAAACTGACGGAAGTGTGGTGGTTAACAAGCTCACGACAAAGGTATTACTGATAAGACTTGTTCGCAGCCAATGTTTGATCACAGAGACATGGTCAAACATTTTCTGCTTGGATAAACACAATCATGTGTGAATTGGAACTCCAGTAGTAGTAGTTGTTGTTGTTGTTAGTGCCATCATGTCAGTTCCCACTCATACTGACTCCGTACAGGGTTTTTGAGGAACACCTGGTGGGTTTAAACTACTGACCTTGTGGTTTGCAGTGCAGTGTTGATCCTACAGTGCCAAATCAGGAGTCCTGAACTGTACCAGCTCTGGTACTTATTCTATTAATTTACAATTTTTCAAGGATACTAAAAGTAAGCCTTAGAGAACACATTTTCTTCTGGGTCATTTAAAGGATTATGTAGAATATTGCCTACCTGACTTTTAAAAGTTAAACCTAAGAAAAAAAGGAAACAGACTAAAAAGGAAGGTGCTATCTCAAGAAAGTTTCCAGTATTAACTCACAGTTTTCTAGACTCCATCTTTTCATTAATCAAATCTACTGCTTATTCAAATGGCATGAGTGTCAGGGAGTTGTTGTTTTTTAGAAGAAAACCCATTATTTCTCAGAATGAAAAGAGGTTACTTTGTGCTTTTTCATGTTCTCAAATTCTAGTGAATATAAACCTTTAGTTTAAGTAACAGTTCGTATTTGTTAGATGCCTTTAGAAAACCTTTAAAGGGATAACACAAGATTCTGCTCTAGGTGGCTACAATTCAAGCATCTTAAATATAATGAATAATATCTAGCTTGTTATATTTCTTCATTCAGTAGACTTAAAAGTGATAAATCAATTTAAGTCACACATCTCATAGTCTCCATTACAGATGCTTAAACTGTAAAACGAATGTGAGGATGACACCTAAGGGCATTTAATGAAGCATAAGATTCACTATACAAACGGCAAACTCTGCAGCAATATTACACATGTAATCAGCATGTTAAGGCATATCTCCATGACATTACAACAAATGTTTGGTATATAAAGAAAAACTTATAGCAAAAGACTATTTCTGGGTTTCTAAGCATAAGGCTTCTGGCTATTTGACAAAACTTCACTTGCATAATTAATATTTCCATGTAAAAATATATTACTACATGACTATAAATCTTGAAGCCTGACAATGTTTAATCTGAACACATTAATCACCAAATTATTCATAAGATAAATGCCAGGAAATACAACTTTACTGATATCAGAAAGACAGCCCACATGAGTCATTCACATGGATTCTTTATCAGATTTACAGCCATGTGTATGAGGATAATCTTTCATTTCAAGAAGAAACAAACAGATGCAATTAAAAAGTGTTAGGGTATCCTAATGAAAATGCAGGAAAATAAAAATATTTCCAGTATAATTTCTGTTCACCTTCCTTGCAAGTGAGAAGAGATGTTTAGATGTTACACATTTGTTGTTGTTATTGTTTGGTGCTGTAGAGTCAATTACAACTCTCACTGATCCTAAGAGTTACCAAGAGGACAAAATTTTATGGAAGCAGACAGTCTTTCTCCAATGGAGTGGCTGGTAGGTTTGAACTACCAACCTTGTGGCTAGCAGTCTGCTGTTTACCCTACAGCACCTAATTAATTGAACTACCTTACAAAATACCATCTCATGATCTTTCAATTATCCAAGTATACTCTTCTTATTTTAAAGTGAAATTAGGTGACAAAGAGAAAACATATTTATGATCTCAGCAAATTCTGACCAGAGATCAATCTAGAATCATATTTATTTTGTTGAAAATACACAGTAAGTGCTCAATTAACATGCTGTTGTGTACATTTGAACAATATGCAGTATTGGTGAAAGAGAATGATCTTGACTACTTTCAACTGCACAAATGCAAAGATCTACAGTCTAACCCAATCCACACCCAATTAACAATGACTATTGGCTTCTATTATTTATATGGATTAAGAGAACAATAGGAGTTCAATAAGATCAATATTAAAGACTCTAAAAAACCAGATGGATCTTGATATAGGCTTAAATCTGCTTATTGTTCAGGCTATAGAAAAGATTTTTCCAAGCAAACTAACAGAATAAATAAAGTTTTGGAGGCTCACAGTACTTGAAAGCATATGTTTTTCTCAAGCTGCCTCAAGCACTTTCCTAGAAATGTTTACAAAAAGGCAGCATATGTTATTTATAAATAATTTATCTTTTTCATTAACTGAGTCCCCTAAGTGCCCCTAAGAGTAAAAATTGTTTACCTTGTGCTATCTAAGAAAGTAAACATCCATCTCTTTCAAAGGATCTACCACGACCCCAAAAATATTATTTTGAATTTTAAGATCAAGTAAGCACAGATTTTTTTTTCCTTACACCTTTCTATTATACTTGAAGGTTTTCAGTGAATGAATATTATTTATAAAATTAGAAAAATGAAAGTTTGTGTGACACTCTAGGATAAACATCAGACCACAAGGTTGGTTTGAATTGCAAGGTGGGTGGTTCTAGCCCCTCTTTGGAAGCCCTAAACTGTTTCTGTTTAAGAAAAATTAAAATCACTTTAATAAGATTAGAATCTATCTGTTCTATGCAATGAATTCCTACACACATATTTTATAAAATGGTAGAGGGATAAAGACAAACAGTTAAATTTTTATTATTTTTTGAAACTAAGGTTTCTAGATTCCTCTAGAACACATTTTGTCTCATCCCACAATGGGATGTGTTCCTAATGAGCACATGTAAATCCAACTTAGTCGGCTAAATCGCACTATCAACTAACGAGAAGACACTTGTTTAAGACAATCTAATAAGCTTTTCTTTAGCCCATAAAGTTTACAAGAAGTGAATCATCAATCAAATATAGACGGTATGTATGCAATCTGCTTACTAAATTGTGCTCACAACTATAGCTTCATGTATTATTTATTACTGATGGGCATAAATATACTAAAGAAAAAATATTTTCACAATTGCTACATTGGTTTTGTTAATAAATTAAAATTTCCAACTTTCACTGTACCTGTAATGAGGTGAAGGATTTCCCCTTGCTTCACAATTTAAAGTTATTTTTCTATCCTCTGAATCAACAGGGAATATGTTGTTGCTTGGCTCTTTGACAAACACGGGGCCTTGGAAGAGAAGCTCACCTATATGGGTGGGGAACATCAAAAAAATAAGAAGTCATCGATGTTGTAAAATCTGCATTCTAAAATGGAAGAAGAAATACAAGCAGAGAGAGCTTGTTTGTTTATTTTTTAAAAGAAACAAAACAATAATATTCCATTTGTCCACAAAGTAACCTGGCCTTAAACCATTGTACTTTTTCATCAGTTAAATAATTCTTAACAGGCTACTAGTAAGTCTACGAAAATCAAAGTTGGCATAAAAAACACTTAAGTATTAATACGATTTCTTAAAACTGCAAATAATCACTTTTCCATCTTTGCTCCTAAAACTAGCAAGAAGGGCCTGATGATCTTCTGGGGGGTGGGAAAAAAAGTTAGTCAGTGTTAACCTTGTGGAAAAAAGTAAAACGTTTTCTGGTATAGTTCTTGAAGATGAGCCCCTCAGATTGGAAGGCACTCAAAAATACTAACAGAGCATCAGAGTCATAGAAAAAATCATTAATAACCTGAAATATAAAGCTCACCAGCCTCATCTGTTGGAAGTGAAGACGTTAAAGCATTTACTGGTGAAGATAAAAGACTACAGTCTTCTGCATGGGTTATATCTCAGCATAAACACAACTCCTCACAACTGGGCCAATAAACAACATCATAACTAATGACAAAGAAATTTAATTGTCAAGAACTGATCTTCATGGATCAACACTCAATGTCTGTGAAGGCAGCAGTCATGAAACCAAAAGACCTGGTTGGGCAACGTTGCTACAAAGGACCTCTTTAAAGTATATAAAAGCAAAGATGTCACTTTGAAGATTAAGGTGTGCCTGACCCAAGTCATGGTATTTAAATCACCTCATATGTCTTGTCAAAGCTAGACAATGAAAAAAGAAGACCAAAGAAACACTGATGTGTTTGAATTATACTGTTGGTAATGGGCACTGAATATATGAGTAGCATGGACTGCCAGGAATCCTGGGTCCTTTAGGACAAGTACTGGACTATTTACAAGATTGTTGGTTCCAGCACACAAGTCAGTCCTTGGAAACCCTATACAGGGCAGCTATGAATTGGCACCAACTCAATAGCACTTACCAATAAACAGCATGGACTACAAGAAGAAGGAACAAATCTATCTAGGAAGAAATTTGGGCAAAATACTCCTTAGCATCCAACCTTTCAATCCAGTGCTTATCTTACAGTGCCAGCGCTACACCAGTAATTAAACCCACTTCCATCAAAAGTCTCTATCACAGTGACTCTATATAGGATTTCTCAGACTATAAATCTCTGCGCAAGCATACAGTCTCATCTTTCTCCAGAAAAAGAACTTGATGAGTTTGAACTAGAACTTTGCAGTAAATAGTCCAGTCTTTGCCCTGTGTATCTAGCTCCTGAAGTTGTCTTAAAACCAAATAATAGTTTAACTTAACTAGCCAAACATGTCTCCCTAGAGCATTATGCTCATTTAAGAACTATCTATATGGTATCAAATTAGCAACAGCAATTAAAAAGATTAGACAGAAACTTTAGAGTGTAGTGAATTTTTGCTAAAGGGGAAGGAACAAATCAAAAACCAAGCTTAAGAATGACTGCATAATTCACAGAATGTAAAGAATCAACAGATCTGTGTCGGAGGAAGTACAGCCAGAGTGCTCCTTGGAGGCCAGGATGGCCAAACTTCGTCTCTTATACTTCAGACATATTGTCAGAAGGCACCAGTCACTGGAAAAGGGTAGGGTGGAGGGTCAGAGAAAAAGAGGAAGAACTCCAGCGAGATGGATGGACTGAAGCATGGCAACAATAGTGAGGTTGGCCCAGGATCGGGCAGAGTTTCATTCTGCTGTGCATAAGGTCGCTATGAGTCAGTACCGACTCGATGGCACCCAACAACAACAATCACTGGTACAAAATGATACATGTAGAAACTGTTGAATTGGTGTATGCTTTGCTGTGCATATTCTCAACAACAAAATAAAACTAATAAAACTTAATAAAAAAAATGTCCCTAGTAGCAAAGATGGTGAGATGAACATGCTTTCAGGAGGGCCCAATCGGTGGGGAAAGACATATGCTTTGCCAAATGCCATTATGAACTGAATTGTGTTCTCCAAAAAATGTGTTATAAATCCTAAGCCTTAATGGTTAAGATCACAGTTGTTAACCATAAAGGTACTGGGTTTGACCTACCTACTGCTACGAAGAACTAATATGTGACAATCTGCTTCTGTAAAGACTACAGTTGTGGAAACCCTAATTGGCAGTTTTATTCCGATTTATAGTCAAGG